AATTAACTTAATTAAAAGATACAAACCGTTCTTATATGTCGAATATTAATTAAAAAATATTGCCAGAGAAAAAAGGCTCTAGTGATAGTATATATTAAGTCTTTATAGTTATAATTTAATATTGGGCGGTTTACCGCAAATAGCAGGCAGTTTTACATAATTTTCTTCCCTTTGAAGTTAATTGGAAATAGCTATATAATTTTGGTGTAGGCAAGATTCCCAGTTTGTTTCCGTTTGAGACCTGGAATAATAAAAACAACTTAAATCAGTTTTAATCATCTGCTGATCATATCGTACCGTAAAAAAATAAATATCTGCTCAAAGGATTTTTTTGTTGCATCCTTTGAATAAGAAGACTAAGGAAGGAGCATAATGCTATCCATGTATTCATGCATGGTGGGCGGAAAAAGCGCCATAAAAGCACTCTAGGGTGGGGATCCTTGACAGTTCTGTTTGACGATTCATTTGGCACATTTGAATTTGATTTGAAATTTTGTGGATTTGTCAATCTTTATGGAGCTTATTTTATGTTATTTATTATTTATTCTACTACTGATAGCTGTATAAAGGTAGTAAATCTAGATGGAAATTGTGGCAGAACTTAAATTAACAGTGACACTATCGCGATTTATCGAAAAATATTCTAAAATAGTTGGTTGTGTAGCGTGCGGTAGATCTCGGCAAAAATTGAGTGAAATAATGGAACAACTTTTCGCTAGTAAGTGACTATATAATATACATTTACTTAAATTAACTAAATTATATATTTTTCTTGCATTTTAGCTTTTATTTATTACTTGTCAAAGATTAGATGTCAACGAATTTAGATACGTTAATTTGACCTGCTTCAGTAGCGTATCGGATGTTTGTGTTAATAAATACTTATTATAACTTATCTATTTTTATTAGAATTATATATTTTTATAACAATTTTAATAACTACCAACATTTATTCACAACGTAACATAAAACAACAAATTATTGAGTCTACCCCACGTCTACCCTACATCATAGTTTTACATTTTTTAAATAAAATTAGAACGACACTGATAAACCGGAATTTAAGTCGGCCATATTTGAGGCCCATCGCGGTGTACCTAAGATTTTTGATATGCTCCTTCCTTAGTCTTCTTATTCAAAGGTTGCATCCATCCCGCCGAAACCGCTTCACCAATCTTGATGATTCTTTTTTTAAATGAAAGGTACCGTATGATCGAATAAAAACGGCGTCAGCGATGGCTATGAAATGAAGATCGCTGTCATTTTATATGTAAATTTATATGGGAAATGTCATCGATCGTCATTTCCCAGCCAACTGGACGCCGTTTTTGTACTACTTTTGTACTACTTTTGTATTTCGCCACTATATTAGTTAAAAACTAAGAAACTCATATCAAATCTAAGTTTTGCGATTTTGACTTATACTTTTTACAAAATCTGAACACATTATAAAAGAAAAAAAGCTTTTGATAATATTTGTGTAGATTGACTACAAGTTCTATAACATAAATTTCTACGACCGGTCTACCTAGTGGTCTGCAGCATCGCCTTGTGATGCAAACGTGGGCCTGTTAATCTGTGACGTGACGCACAACAGCCAAGAAAAACAGAAGCATGGCTAAGAATTTAGTAATTTAAAAAAAAATTCTTTTAGATACAGTAGTAGGTATTAAAAAGTTTTGTGTTTAAATGGGGTTTGCCTTTAACAGTTAAAAAATTATATCGTAAAGTGTAACTTTCCGTAAGAATTCTTTATCTGTCATCATGTTAACCTGATGTTTTGTATGTTATTTTGTTTTTTTGCTTGTTTGTTTTACGGACAGGTGCGATCGCATAATTATTATTGATAATGTTTTATTTAATTACAGTTCAGTTTATAATCATCTGCTGATGATGCTAACATGGTTAGCGAAACGCGCGTCCAGTGTAAAAGTAAAAGTGTTTTGGTGTATTGTGGTGATTTAGTGTTTTTATTTTGTTTTTTTATTTAATGTTAACATTACTACTTTTTCAGTGAATCTTTAAATCTGTTGTTTTTTGTTAAGTTCGTTATTTAAAAATATGTATGTAATACACTCATATTAACACTAATCATATTTTTACGTTTTTACTCATCATTTTCAATGCCCCCCCGGTTGCATCTTTGTAAAGGACTGTTAATTTTTTTCATCGGATTGTCCCATTTTGTAATTTCGCATTTCTTATACCACAAAAATTGCACGTATCTTTTTTGAGTCGTTTAGTCAAAAGTCATTGTCGTCAGAATCGTTGAGTCGTTAGTTTGATAGTCGAGTTGCGATGACAGATATTGCCTGTTTCCTGTCATCGATTCTCTACAGTAGTGAGACTTGTATTTTGGAAAACTGTTAATATGATCGACAACATACTTCTCAACAGCAGGATCAAGTTTTTTTTTCTATTTGAATGTTTTCCTCTGTTGTCAATAAAATAATTTTCTTAATCTGTATTAATTCTTTTACTTGTCAAGCCATACGTGATTACAAACAGGTTACGACACACTAGATTCTACCTTACATCCTCTCGAGTTAATATGGTTTTTGTTGGAATTTTTTAAGATTTTTCTAGTATGACGATCCTGTGATGCAAATTTGCGCTTTCTACCTCTACTAGGCCTACTATTTTCCGCATTTTCTTTATTTTCATTAAAATTGGGTGAATTCCAATTAAAAGTCTGTCATCGCCTTCTCTGTCACTACTTTCTGTATCATCGTCTTCGGGTTCTTTCTCACTTTCACTGGAAACGGGTTCATATAGTGGATCATCTGCATAGTCCTCTTGTTCATCGTTGTCACCAAACTTTATTTCTTCCACTCGTTTGATACTTACGTACAACTTCTACCACTATTCATGGTGAAGTTGTACTACACTATTACACCTACAACTACGACACTATTCATGGTGTCATTTTTTACTGCTAATAAAACAATATACTATTATTTAAACAAATACATATATGACTTCTTGCCGGATGTCTGAAGTACACTCATGTACACTTACGTCATTCGTGTTTTCAGATAACTGAGGGGGGGGGTCTGAGGGATATTGTTTTCTATGGTATGGGGTTTATCTACGTCAATATTTTTAGGTTCTTCGCACTTTTCTTTACTACAAACAAGGAGGGCGCTATCATCCAAAGCTATTTCCATATTTTCAATATCAAATAAGCAGTTATTCTCAAGTGTAATATTACCAATATGGAAAGAATTATTATCCTGTAGCTCTCCTTCATTTTGTAATGTACAGTCATTACGTATTATAATTGCTAGTAATAGGTAATTCATCTGGCGTTGACAAAATCTGCTCGTTATCGGAGTTTTCTTCTAGGTTACTAATGTTTCCATTCTAAAAAAATACTAAATACTATACTATTACTATTATTATCTCTAAAAATCCTTAGCAAGAGAACAAATAATTACTAGCACAAAAATAATTATAGAGCAATTTCAAAAAAGTATCCCCAAAAAAATCCTAGACCCGTCCCTGCATTTAAAAGTGCCTTAAAAAATTTTAACAAGCGGCACATAAAAACTTCCTATACACCCCTGTATATACATGCACAACCCCTTATAACGCTCCAGGGCACCTATGTATTTATTATAATCAAATTGTAATCAAAGAAAAATACCAAACAGAGGATGAAAGATAATAATCAGTGTAATAAGACATAGCAGTAACCATCTGGAGAATTCTCATTCTCCTAGACATTTTTGCAAAGAATATAAGAACAACAACCCAAGAAACGAATAAGACACAAAATTATTCATAAAAAACTAAATTAATAACGGTTTCACCGTCTCGCGTGTAACAACTCGTGTATAATGTACGAATAACCAACACACCAACGACCGTTATTATTGGCGGTAAAACGCGCAGCCAATAGCGTAAGAGAGATTCAAACGGCTTGGTTCCTTCTTGCGAAACTAAATTTTAGTGACAAGCTCAATAACGACGATGCAATAAGGTATCATATGTATTGGTTCCGTATTGAAAAACTCTAAATATTGGTTAGTAGTTGACGAGAGAGTTCCAAGCCGCATGGATCTTTTTTAAATTTTTAAAAATATAGCATAGTAGTTGGGAAAATATGTCTAAGCCACTTGGTCCTTTATTAAGTTTTTAGAATCACTTAAATAAATGATAAACAATAGATCCAAGCAGTGTGGTCTCGTATTGCAATTTTAATTTTGCTAATAAAAAACTGATGTTGGGTACCAAGATGTTTGGAACCATATTGTGTAATTGAGAAACGTCGATAGAGGTTAGGCAATTTTTTTAACTAAAACTTGTTCACCTAACATATTTCAAAATTACCTTTAAGATATTTTGAAGATGGCAGCACATGTACATACATACATCAATATGAAATCGCGGTTAATTCAAAAGTGCTCATATTGTGGGTTGGAACCCTTTTCCATAACACCATTCATTTAAGCTTCCCAGCCATAAATTCTCCACTGAATGAAGCGACAAACAACGAACAATCTAACCTTTCGTTGGAAACTCGATCGAAAAATAAGAACATCAGAGATGATTTGGAAATGCAGATCGCCGGCATCATTATACGTAAAATTATATAAGGAATGTAAACGATCGTCATTTCAAAGCCAAATAGGCGCTGATTGTTCTGTCTATCCATTTTTTGTCTGATTTAACAGACAAGTGTTCACAATATTCAATATAAACGGCAATAATGTAGTAGGATTTGAATGTGGAAGTCGCCCGGATCTACAGCGATAGATTTAATTTCCGGTAAAGGTTTCATTAGTCGATTCACCAACGAAAAAGGAAAGCAAATGAATGTGAAATTTTACTATTGAATATTGTATTATTATATGTTTACATGATTATTATACATTTACAGATCCATTGAGAAACATCGTTATGAGAGTAAAATTGTGAGATCCATTAAGTTTAATTTTATATACTAATTTCATTGAAAAATATTCAATTCTTATTTGACAAGCATAATTTTTTTTCAGGCTCATCATAGCATACTTTGATATGACAGGGGCTATATATGAAGAAATTATTGAGCTTTGAACTTTCCAGGTAAGTTGTCAATATAGATATAGAAATATTTATTGCTTTATGAATGTGTTGTAATTGCATTTTTAACTTCAACCTAAATATTTGTGAGAATTATGAAATGTAAACTAAACTATAATACTTTTTTTCTAGTTTTTGTCCAGGAAAATATTTTGTACTAGATATGTCGGTGTATCTGTTTAATGTTTTAATGTTATATACTGCGTGAGTTTTCTACGATGTTCTCCATGGGTATCTCAGAAGCTACTGCATCTAGAGGGTCGGTCAAATATGGAAAGAATTGCAGTTTTGTAAGGTCAAATATATGCGCCTTTCGGATTTTTGAAAAAAAGTTTATGGCTTAGGTACTAGATATTTCTAAAAAATCAAATTTCGGCAATTTTGACAATGCTCCCTAATTCCATTATAATCTATTTTAGACAAAATGTTTTCAGATAAAAGTTTTCTCAGTCTTTTTTCTAAAGCCTGTAATTTTTGACATATGAAACAGACTGCAAACATATGTTTTTTAAATGAAAACCGCAACTACAACTAAAAAAAACTACAACTATGGTTTTCATTTAAAAAACATGTTTGTTGGGTTAAACCAGTAGTTCCCAAACTTATTTTTCTCGTGAACCACTTTCAAAATTTTACTGGTTTCGGTGGACCCCCTGCTGCTACATTTCTACCACATTCTTAAAGTCGCCAAAAAATAAAAATTGTCTCACTTCTGAGTTCTGTCCCTATATTCCGATATGTAAAATAAAAACGAAAAATGGTACATTTTATATCACTTTATTTATTAAAAGAATAGAATTACAAGAAAAAATATTAAGGTAATATAGGTTCAGGTCATAATTTTAATTAATGGGAAGGATGTATCTGATGGAGTGTCAGCAAACGATCAATGTTTGGCTTTATTTTTTGTGAGCAATAACCGCAAATCCCCCCCGCTCTGTGATGTTTAATTTGCTCTTTTTTTTGTTAAGAGGTTTGTAACGGCACTAAAACTCCTTTCGACAAGGTATGACGAGGGAAAAGCTATTAAAAATTTCCTTGCGATTTCCCACAGTCCAGGATATTTTTCGGGTATTTCTGCTTGCAGCCAAAATGTTGGGTAGCCTTTTCTAAATTTCACCTTCAGCTCCTCATTAGTGCTTAGCTCGAGCAGCTCCTCTTGTAATACAACATTGGCCACTTCCGTTTCATCAAATGGATTTATGATCCATGGTGGTATATCCATCGTCAGTATATCTTCAAACCTGGTTTTGAAGTCATCATGCAGAGCACTTAAATGTTGACTGTAGGTATGGATATCCTCATCAATACATTCTACCTGCGACAAGTTTGGAAATTGAGAGAATTCGCGCCGACTAATGTTTTGCTTCATAAATTTCAATTTCCCAAGAAAAGCCGAAATTATCCCCTTTGTTTTTATTAAATTCAGGCTGTCCCCTTGTAACTGCAAGTTAATATCATTAAATTTTTTAAACAAATCTGTCAAATACGCAATGTCTGCTTTGAATTTGATCAAGTTTTCTTTTAAATCTGGATCTCTACTTTCTAAGAACTCTAATATGGAATCGAAAACAGAGTAAAATCTCGTTAAGCATGCACCTTTCGACAACCAGCGTACTTCAGTATGTAAGAGCAGTCGTTGGAAGTCTTCATCATTTTCGTCGCACAATTGAGCAAATAAACGCGTATTCAATGCATTGCTTCTGATTTTGTTGACAGCTTTTATTACAAAATGAAGAGATTGGTTCAACCTGTCACTTAAATGTTTTGCCACAAGATGTTGTCGGTGGATTACGCAATGAATAGCTGTAAGTCCTGGTATAATTCTTTTGAGATGACTTATAAACCCACGATATCGCCCGACCATTGCAGGAGCTCCGTCTGTTGCCACTGAAATAATGTTTGTAAATGGGATCGATTTTTCCGTAAAAAAATTACTCAGGACATTAAATATTGATTCGCCTTTAGTGTCAGTCTCCAAAGTTCTGGCAAATAGCAATTCTTCGTGAATTTCTTCCTCAACAATAAATCGGACATATGCCAATAGTAATGCTTCATTACTGGGTAACGTTGACTCGTCCAGTTGTATAGAAAAATGAGTTTTTTGCAGATGATTGCACAAAAAGCTTTCGATATCAGAGCTCATTTCATCAATGCGTCTTTGTACAGTATTGTTACTTAATGGAATTCTTTTTAGTACGTCAAATGGAGATTTGTGCAAAACAGTTTTTAAAACCTCTTCAACAGCGGGTAAAATTAATTGTTCTCCGATAGTGTGCGGTTTTCCAGATTTTGCTATAAGTAATGAGATATTGTAAGATGCCCGCAAGCCATCATCGTTACTTTGAGATGTTGAAGCGAACATACTGTGCATGGTGGGTCTCTTTCCATATTTTTCTTTCAATGTTTGAAAATATTTTAAATCTTTACCTATTTTATCAGTATGACACCTTTTTAGATGATCTTCGAGCTTTGATGGTTTCATAGAGTCATTGCTCAAAACTTTGTTGCATAATAGGCACATGGGCAATTGTTTGTCTGCCTCTGATGGAACAAAACCATATTTCAAATAATCGATACTATATTGTCGACATTTTTTCTTTGCTGTAGCCATGTTTCGTGTCAGTTACCTTACCTGTAAAAAAAATGTTTTAGTAACCAAGTTTTTTCTGAATATAGGTATCACACCGCAGCCTTTGTCAGCACGCGGAAATAGAATTACGGCTTGTAAAGGGACCAACTAATAAACCGCTGAGACAAATACAGACGTTTTCACAAAACGGTATCAATTTTAAAGTACATAATTTACCACTAATTTTAATAGTATAAATAAAAATTGGTGTACTCAGTATCGAATACTGATCATATTTGTGTAGGAAAAAATAAAAGTCGCAATCCCAAAATTGTCCATAAAAACGATAACTAACATTTTATTAAATCAATGAGTTCACGCGCTCCGTGTATTTGCGTATTTTTGTCTGCGGCTTCATTGTTAAAACGTGACAAACTGGCATCGAAGTCCAAGCCCCGCCCTTTTCCCGTCGCCCGCGCACCGCTCGCTCTTTCCGAAAAGGAATAGTTTTGATAAAATAGTTACTTCAAAACCAATTTAAAATGATTATGAAATTACTGTTTTATAAAATTAGTAGTTATTTGCAAGAAAAATTACAAAATTAATTGCTCTGCAATATTGCTTATTCGGCCTTTTAGAGAGGCAGTGTTTCTCTCGTGAAAAACAATTGAATAAAACGTGCTGTGTTTGTCTTCAAATCGAAAGAGGACAATTAAAATATCTGTAAGTTACTAAGTTACCTATCTATACAGGCCGTTGTGATCAACCGACTAGTACACGTAAACAAAATACTTAAGTACTATAACAAAGAAAAGGTAGGTTACTTACTTTTCTCCGGCACTAGCAAACACAGATATAAATTTTCTCACAACTTTTTTTCCAAATTCCGCCTTTTTTTCGAAATTCCGGAAACAAATGAATGCGTTTGCCTTTGGCATCAAGTATTTATAGTGGTGATCAAGTTCATGTCTGAACAAGCATTAAGCATTGTCGGGCGGATAGCGCTTTGCAAGTCTGTACACGAAATTGGACGTAATATCGAATACGCAAGTTTAGACAAGTAACAGTCGCTTGCCTTATTAAAATATTATCTGCTTAGATAGGTACTTAAAACAATGTAGGTAGGCCCTTATAAAAACTATGCTTACATTTTTGCTCTTTACTATCAAAAGCAGATAAATTTTCGTGGACCCCCATTAACATCTTATGGACCCCCATTTTTTGTTCACGCCTACGTAGACCCCCAGCAAGTCTCCCGTGGACCCCTGGGGGTCCACCTGGACCACTTTGGGAATCACTGGGTTAAACCATACAACTATGGTTTTCATTTAAAAAACATATGTTTCTTTCATATGTCAAAAATGACAGGCTTTAGAAAAAAGACGGAGAAGACAGTCTCATAAAGGATGTGATTATCTAAAACTTTTATCTGAAAACATTTTGTCTAAAATAGATTATAATGGAATTAGGGAGCATTTTCAAAATTGCCGAAATTTGTTTCTTTAGAAATATCTAGTACTTAAGCCATAAACTTTTTTTCAAAAATTCGAAAGGCTCATATGTTTGACCTCACAAAACTGCAACTCATTCCATATTTGACCGACCCTCTAGATGCAGTAGTTTCTGCGATACTCATGGTCAACGCCATGACTTCATAAAAAGCGCCATTTTTTTAAAGCTTTTAGCGATATAAACTGTAATTTTTTTTTTCGAGAAATTACTGAGTTATAGCCAATTCTTATCGTTTTCGATTAATTTCACTTAGTTGGCATGATATTCATTCTTATTCTTTTATGATTTATAGCTTATAAAAAGACAGAATATTTTATTAAAAGGTTTTTTACAATTTACATTAAAGAAATTAAAGCTTAAAACTTTAAACTAATATCACTTAAGTAATTTTAACAAATGTTCAAAAAATCCGCCATTGTTTTTAGTACATAAAATGGTCTTTTTAAAGCCGAATGTCAGGTGACCAGGAGACCCATGCAATTGGTCCACCTCTTTTTATCCCCGAGTTTGCATTATTATAATATTTTAACATTTTTGAATTTTTAACATTTCTTTCACTATGTGGAAGAGCGTCATAATTAAAGTCATGTTGGAACCGCTCTATTGATCCTTGAATGAATTTAGCTATGAATTCACTTCACTTCAACACAAACTCTGCAATTCACTTCAACACAAACTCTCAAAACTGCAATTATTTCCCCATTTAACCGACTCTCTAGCTCCAGTGATCGTAAACACACACAATAGAAATTACACTGAGAACATCGTAGAGACATTTATCGTAGGAAACTCACCCTGTATATACTACTCGGGATAGGTTTAGTGTGATAAGATTTTTTTCTTTCAAATGTTGTAAAATATACACATTTTACTATTATTCCTTATTAATAACTTTAGGTAGTCAAAAAATTTCCCACTA